TTGAGTAAGATCGATATAGAAAATTATATTTCTATGAATGGCACAATTGTATATTCCTAAAGTCTTGCTACGAACAACAAATATGTTGGTGACGACCTCAACATACATTTAAATATGTATTTCTGAAGGTGACCACACCCAACCCGCACCAATCCGCAGTGGATAGTGGTTACCCACTAACCACTGCGGTACGGATTATGGGTAGCATTTGTGCGTGTGGGTACCCACAAAATGTGAGGCGGGTAACCACACCCACCCCAATTTCCACACCTAGTTCAAATCACTGGCTCCACCTTGCCCGGTCACTGACTTCGCCATTATTACTATATTAAAAGAACAAGTAACTTTTTTACTATTTCTTAGAATCACATCCAATGAGTGACCCTTTTGTTATTTTGTTCGTCTTAATTACTATATTAAAAGAACAAGCAACTTTTTCACTATTCCTTAGAGTCACATCCAAGAAGCGGCCCTTTTGGGGTCGTTTGGATGAGTGAATGTGATGAGGGATTTATGAGGGATTTTAAAACAATATCTCGTTGTAGCAACTTTTTCACTATTCCTTAGAGTCACATCCAAGAAGCGGCCCTTTTGGGGTCGTTTGGATGAGTGAATGTGATGAGGGATTTATGAGGGATTTTAAAACAATATCTCGTTGTGCAGGATTTTAAAACAATTCTGCGTTTGGAAAGGTGAGAGATTGTGGGCATGAGGAAATTCTAAATCTCTCATATGAGAGTTTTTAAAATAGCTGATGGGGATCAGCTATTTCACAATCACTCATTTTTTCTCATTCTTTTCCAAACTCTGCCCCTCCTTTTGTTCTTCCTTTCTTATTCTTCCTTAAGGATTAGGGATGGGTATAATTGTAACTTTAATTTTTAATTAAAATCCTTCATCTATTCCCAAACATGTTATTTGGATCAAATCCCACGTTTAAAATACCTAGGTTTTTAATTGAGAGATTTTAATCCAAATCCCTCATTTACACATTCCCTAATCCAAACGACCCCTTTGTTATTTTGTTCATCTTAATATGTGACCATTTGTACTTAACTATAAGTTTAGGGACTTTTTGGATTATTTTAATTTACTACACTAATTTATTTCATTTTCAAATGGATTCAAACTAATTCAACCCGATTTGAACCTGGTATTTTTTTATGTCGGGAACGAGAATTTTATTTCCTTTTATTTTGTTAAGCGAGTTGAACTCGGTGTTAAAGATTGGGTCGGGTGTGCAATTTTGCGACGGCAACGAGTTTAGGGACTTTTAGGGTTATGAATGAATTTTATCCACTTTTGTAATCATTGAATTGGGTCAAGAATGCATTATACCAGCCTTTTCCAACCCGGTATCAAAGATTGGGTCGGGTGTGCAATTTTGCGACGGCAACGAGTTTAGGGACTTTTAGGGTTATGAATGAATTATATCCACTTTGTAATATTTGATTTGGGACTTTTAGGGTTATGAATGAATTTTATCCACTTTTGTAATCATTGAATTGGGTCGAGAACGCATTATACCTACCTTTTCCAACCCGGTATCGATGTTGCCAAATTTTAGACCGGGAACGAATTCTACCCGCTTTTGTAATTAACGAATTGGGTCATTAATAAAATATTTTAATTATTTTTTTTTTATGAAAATTGAACCCAAAAATTTAATCCACTTTTGTAATCATTGAATTGGGTCGAGAACGCATTATACCCGCCTTTTCCAACCTGGTATCGGTGTTGCCAAATTTCAGGTCGGGAACGAATTTTATCCGCTTTTGTAATTAACAAATTGGGTCATTAATAAATTATTTTAAATATTTCTTGAACTCAAATTCATGTGTGCTCAATCTAATTCGACTCGGTATTGGTGTTGCCGAATTTTATTCTAGGAACGAATTTTACCAGCTTTCGTAATTAACGAATTGGGTCGGTTGTGGATTTTGTTTAAGCGAATGGACTTATATGAGCTAGGTCTCCACGTATAGGGTACTCGAATGACTTAAGCGAGATGTACTCTACATTGCCTTTTTCTCTAACAAAGTGGCTTGTTCATCTTTCTGGGAACATTCTGGAACCTCATACGCTATTATGAAACCAAAAGACCCATGCTGGAGGAAAGATTCGTATTCAAATACCGGGATAGAAGAACAGCAACTACTACAAAGACACATCCCACACCCGCAAGAACATTCGAGATTGCCCCTTCTCAGTAGAGATTCCTAGTGAAGTGCCTTGGCATGGAATGGAACCCAAGACAGGAACAGTAGTAAAGTAACACTCACAACCCCTTTGCGACGAAGTTGTCTCTGCTTTCGTCTTCTCTCCTGCAAAGTGACCCAACAATTGAACGCGGACTTCACTCGCCCATTTCCACTATAATTACTAAACGAACCCATTCCAATTGGCGCTTCACCCATCTCTCAAAATGCCAACGACCACTTTTCTGCGACGTTTATCTATAGATAGCTTTCTCTCTTCCCCCTCTTTTGCTTACTCAGTTCACTTTGCTCTGTCTCTCGCCGCCGGTAAGACCTTTCATTGTCCAGATTGGATCACGATGAATACTATGGCTCCTCCGCCTTCTCCTCTCTTCCCAGACCAATTTCCTATTTTAGGAAGTGGAATGAACGGCAGCAATCTGCTACCCACATCACCAAACAGCTCCTTCAACCAAGGAGACAATCGATTTTGTCCATCCGACGAGCGGTTGATAAGTCATTATTTGATCCAAAAGATGCTTCGAAATGAAGACCAAGTAATGCGAATCCCCGAAGTTGACATATTAAACCACGAGCCGTGGGATCTACTGCCCACCGGTGGTGGAGGTAAATACTAGTATGACTTTCCTTTACTCCACTCTTTGCTGTTGTTTAAGTTTTTCTTGTTATGTTAGGGGCAGAGCAACGTTACAAAGAAGCGTATTACTTCTGTCGTCGAAGGAGTTACTTCACGAGCAAGGATCGATACAAAAGGACCACAGGAGGTGGTTACTGGAAACCGACCGGCAAACATCGCGAGGTTAGGAGCGGGGCTAATGGAGAAGCGATCGGAAGGAAGAGGAGCCTGGTTTTCCATTACGGTCGGCCCGGCGCGGGCCAAGGTACGGGCTACACTATGCACGAGTACTCTGTTCCGGACTGTATTGGGCAGATGCTGGGAGAAGATCTGGTTCTCTGCAAAATCATGAAGAAGATTTCGAACCGCAACAACAAAACTGAAACAGCAGCAAGAAAGCTAAGTAAGAAGAGGAAGAAGGCGGCAGTGACGCCAATAATACCTTGTGACGAAAACATCAACACCATCACTCTGCCTCGGCAAGAAGAAGAAGCGCACAATTACCAAGTGCCTTCTTCTGATTTCGGAAATCAAAACGTGCTCTTTCAAGAGGCAGTCAGCAATGATCATGGCAGCGCAGTGGAATTGGCGCAGTTCCCGGAGATACTGTTCGGCGACGGTGATGATCATAACCAGCTGACTGATTTTAATTTTGATTTTGATTTTGATTTTAATTTTGATTTTGAGTTGAATTCGGCGGTCAGAGATACGCTGCCACCGTCGGAGCCAGAGCCTTTGCTCGACTAGTTTTATGGGATGGAGACAGGTTAAGTTGACGTATGTAGTAGCTAGCTGATGACCGGTAATCTGGTTTGGACTTGTTGATTACTGCTGTATTCATTAGTGTGATATATTGAGCACATTTAGCTGTAAGCTGGTGTTGCTGTGTAGTGTTTTTTTCTTATTGTCCCTCTACGGCTTTACCATCTGCATTTACAACGCTTTGTACTTCCGGCAAATTTTAATCAGATTCACCTTCTCATTTGAATAATTGCGATAACTTGGTGAGGAATAAGGCATGTGTTAGTGAACTACGCAAATCGTGTGTCTATTTTCGATTCTCGCTTTCGTTTTCTTGCTTTATCGATTCCGGCGATTTTCCGATCCGTAACAGCGCAGTTATAACATGAATTCGACATTTCTTGCCAAATACAATCCGTAAAGTAAGCACTTTGTAGCTAAAAGAAGAAGGAAATTTTTTATTTTAGAAATTTGTTGTTATCAATTGAGATAATGTTGTTGAACAAGATCGCCGTGAATAATGATGTAAATATTAACATGTATTAGTTCGATTACCAAGATTATTTTTAAGTAATTCAAAGCTAAAAATCTCCCTTTAACATTTATCGTTGCAATCTGTAAAATTAATTGATTGTTTGGACGATGAATTTATAGAATGATGCAATTTGATCCAATTGCAGAAACGCATCATTTGACAATATAGTGGAGCGATTAAGCCCGACAGAAGAGAAGAATTTAGTTTGATTTTACTTGTGAAGTTGAGATAGGAATTGACGATCTCAAGGATTTGATAATATGGGCTGAGAACATACATCATATTTTAGGTTCGATTTTTTCGATTAATAACGATGATTTTTTTTAAACAAACAGATGGAAGAAGATAATCAAGAAATATTTCGAGGGAAGGGCAGAGAATATGAAAAGACACAGAAAAGTTTTAGGGATTTTGACAAAAGCAAAAGCAGTAGCGAAGAAGAGGAAAAACGATGGACAAGAGCTCAAGCTCTGAAACTCGACTGAGACACAGCCAAGGAAAATCAATTGGGCTGAAAATTAAATGGCCCAAAATAAAAGACAGAAAATTAATAGAAAGCCGATGTGGGCTTTGTTCACTCAAGCCCAAACACACAATACACGTAAATGAGCTTGTGCTTTCTTCTTCTTCTTCCTTTGAAAGGAATGGAAGAACAGAACAGAACAGAGAACTAAAAATAAAGAAGGAATGAAACCAGAACTGAAGTGAAAAGAACACACGATTTAACGAGGTTCCCAAACTACTGGTCACTCCTCGTCTCGGACATAGCACCTGCTATTTTCCGAGAGACTCTTTTTTTATGATTTTACCTATCAAGCAGAAGATAAAAAGAAACACATGAGGAAACCTTCCTTTGCGATCCGATTCTTGAAAACTTACCAAAAGAGATCAATCGGCAAGACTCTTATTTCGTTCATCAATCTTCCCCTAAATAAGAGATTGACGATTGATCCTTTTCCTGCAAAAGACAGCACACACAAACTCCAAACAAGGCAAGAGATACCCACCAGAAGCAAATCCCAACAGAGACCAAACAATTTCCAGCAAAGACTACTGCAAGGACCAAACTCCAAAAAAAACAACAAGGTTTGAACACACTCAGTTCAAGGCAGCAAGTTCCAACCCAAACAACTCAGGGCAAACAACACAAAAGAAAACAACAAGTTTGAGACACACTCGCAAGATACGACAAAAACGATCTTCCTCATCAGAGCCAAACTCTTCTTCATCAGTCTCATAAAGTACCACAAGATCTGCAGGAAACAAATCTTCAGAATTTGAGTCATCCTCTTCCTCTGGTTCCACATTCTCCTCTGGTTCCACATCTTCAGGTTCTACCTCCGCCTCATCGACTTCAATGACAGCAGCAGCAGCAGCAGGAAAGACCTCTCCCCCAATCGCAACCTCCAGGTCATCCAGCATTTGGTCGATAGACACATATTGAGTAGGGGAGATGGTTTGAAACGAAGAAAGATCAATTTCAAGGCGAGAGAACAAACGGGTGATGAGGGGTCCAAATGGCAATGGGCCAGGGAAGTGGACATCACCAAAAGACATCATGGAGCCAAAAAAAAAACAAGTGAGCATAGTTGAGAGGGATATGAGCAACAACATGGCTCATAACCCAGAGGTCTAAGGGAGTAACTCGGTCAAGGGATTGAAAATGAGGAAGGAAGACCCTCGTGAGGACAAAATGAAAAGCTCGAAGACGGGGCAGCAAAACATTGACAGGGAGAGACAGGGCTGACCAGGATGAACACCCGAGAGACGAACAAACTCATCGACAACATTAAAATTGACTCTCCACAACTCAGACTCATGAGCAATGGTCTCACCAGCAGCAGGAATATCTAGCAAATGACCCAGGTCGACAACAGGAATGGTAATGAGATGGCCTTGGAAAAAGGTACAGAAAGCTCGGGAATGAAGGCCATCAGAGCGAAGGTTTGAGTAAAAATGACAAACAAGGATGGGGAAAACATGGATGAAAACTGATCAAGTAAAAATCCTCATCCCAGATTTTGAATAAATTCATTGACATCAAGAGCAAAATCATGGAAATCTATAAACGGGGCTAGGATAGAGGGGGCAATAGGGCGACGCTCAAAAAACTGACGATGGCGGTGGTAGTTGGCAAGGGCAGGTTCGAAAAACAAACTACCAGAAAACGTGATTGACAAGCTAGGCTCCATATCGAGAACAAAAGATCAAAGCACTTAGGAGGAAGATACGAAGAGAAAAGCTAAAAGGAAAAGAACTTAAATAGGAACGCAGAGCCCGAAAGAAAAAAGGAACACCAACAGACAAGGTAAGAAAATAAAACACAATAACTCTAGGAATCAAAAAGAAGGAGAAGGGAAAAAAAATTAACCTAACTAAAATAGGAAAGTACAGCAAGTAAACGAGACAAATCAGGGGAAGTCACCAATGGCCTGTAAAGACCTCAAACCAAGCTCATAGCATAAAAAAGTGAATCTGTCTAAGGGTAAAGGCTTAGTAAAAAGATCAGCCAGCTGAAATTCAGTAGGTATATGCTGCAAGGCAAGAGTGTTAGATGAAACAAGATCACGAATGAAATGGTATTTAATTTCAATATGCTTTGTGCGAGAATGCTGCACAAGATTTTTTGTCGTGCATATAGTACTAGTATTGTCACAGAATAATGGAATGTAAGACACATCTAAGCCATAATGAGCAAGCTGACTTTTAAACCATATTGATTGAGTGCTACAGCTCCCGGCAACAATATATTCTGCCTCGGCTGTAGAGAGAGCGACAACCCCCTGTTTTTTGCAAAACCAATAGACAAGACAAGTGCCAACCAGTTGACACGTACCTGTTGTGCTTTTCCGGTCAGTTAGACTGCCATCAAAGTCAGAATCGCTATAACCGACCAAATAAAAGGTTTCTTGTTTAGGATACCAGAGATCTACATCTATAGTGCCCTTTAAGTAACGAAAAATCTGTTTAATAGCAGACAAATGACTTTCTTTAGGGTTGGATTGGAACCGAGCACAAATACAGACACTGTACTGAATATCAGGTCTGCTGGCAGTTAAATATAGTAAAGATCCAATCATTGCTCGATACTTCTTTTCATCTACCGCAATTCCATTCTCGTCTCGATCTAACTTTAAATTTGCAGCCATAGGAGTGGGACTGGAATTTAAAGAAGTCATGTTGAATTTGGAAAGCATGGTATGGATATACTTGGATTGGTTTATAAAAATGCCATGAGTAGATTGTTTAATCTGTAATCCAAGGAAGAACTTTAGTTCACCCATCATGCTCATCTCAAAGACAGATGTCATAGACTCACAAAATGCAGTGCATAATGCAGTATTAGTGGATCCAAACACGATATCATCAACATATATTTGAACAAGCAGAATGTCGTTCTGAGTTTGTTGAATGAATAACGTTTTGTCAACAGTACCCTGATTGAAGTTATGGTCTTTAAGAAAATTTGTAAGACGCTCAAACCACGCTCTAGGAGCTTGTTTAAGACCATAGAGAGCTTTATTTAACTTATAGACATGGTCAGGATATCTATAGCCAATAAATCCCGGTGGTTGAGAAACATACACATCTTCTAAAATCACACCATTTAAAATGGCACTCTTGACATCCATTTGAAATAAAGGAAAGTTAAAGAAACATGCAAAGGCACACGGCAAGCGAATGGATTCAAGTCTAGCAACTGGGGCAAAAGTTTCGTCAAAGTCAATGCCCTCCTCTTGACAGTATCCTTGGGCAACTAGACAAGATTTATTCTTAATGATGTCCCCATCTTCATTTGACTTGTTTTTATAAATCCACTTTGTTCCTATAACAGTCACATTTGGTGGGCGGGGAACCAAGTCCCAGACCCTTAGATGCTCAAACTGAGCAAGTTCTTCTAACTTAGATAGCCCCCATTCCTCATCATTCAATGCCTCTTTATAATTTTTAGGTTCAAACTGAGCTAGATAGGCAAATTGACCAAGAATATACTTACCTCGAGTACGAAGACCATCAGACAAATTTCCTATGATCTGACTTTCAGGGTGACGTTTTTGTATATGTGCTGGAGCTTGGGGAATGACTGGCGTGTCATGGGAATGTGATTCTGAAAAAACAGCAGGTCTAGATGGGTTGACAATAGCTGGATTCGGTGCGAACAGCATGTCTGAGGTACCCTCTTGAGTAGAACTTAAAGGAGACAACATTCTGCAAAATCAAAAGGTGCAGCAGCATCTTCTCCAAGCTTAAGAGAAGGGTTAGTGTCATCAAAGCGAACATGAACCGATTCTTCAACTCTTTTGGACTTCTTATTGAATATACGATAAGCTTGTCCTTTCACAGAGTATCCTAGAAAAATGGCTTCATCTGACTTAGCATCGAACTTGCTGAGATTCTCTTTAGTGTTTAGCACAAAACAACGACAACCAAAAGGATGAAAATAAGAAATAATGGGCTGTTTATTTTTAAATAACTCATAGGGAGTTTTGTTCAAATGTTTTCGAACTAAAACACGATTCCCCACGTAGCACGCAGTGCTTACAGCCTCAGCCCAGAAGTGTTTTGGTAACCCATATTCAAGTAACATGGTGCGAGCACATTCAATTAGAGTACGATTCTTGTGCTCCACCACTCCATTCTATTGAGGAGTGCGTGGGGCAGAAAATGTATGTAGGATCCCAGTTTGGTTACAGAAGCTCTCAAATTCGTCTGAGATAAACTCCCCTGCATTATCACTCTTGATAATTTCAATTTTCCCTTCAAACAGCATAGTAAAAGTCTTAAATTTTGAAAATGTTTCATCTTTGTGGGAAAGAAAATAAACCCAGGTATATCGTGAATAATCATCTACAAGGACAAAGGCATAATTCTTGCCTCCTAAACTCGTTACATTGCAGGGACCAAAAAGGTCCATATGAATCAGTTCAAGAACTGATTTTGATGTAACTCCTTGTTTAGGTTTAAAACCTTTCTTTGTGTGTTTACCAGCAACACACGAACTACAAAAGAAATCAGATCGCTCTTTCTAAATAGGCATTCCATGAACCAAAGCAGATTTGGACAGCTTGGATAACTTCTAAATATGCCCCAACTTGCGATGCCAGAGCATCTCTAATTGATTATTAGAAATCAAGCAAGTTTCACTAGCCAAATTGCTTAGATTAATCACATACATATTATTGAACCGATTTCCCACAAATACAGTGGAATTATCCTGAGATCGTGTCACTAGATAGTGAGAAGCCTCAAATACCACCTTATTGCCATTGCTTCAAAGTTGACTAATGGACAGTTAATTGTGCTTCAAACCCTCTACAAGGAGAACATTGTGAATAATTGGTTGAGGTTTTGAGCCTATAGTTCCACTACCTATTATTTTTCCAAAACTGTTGTCACCAAAGGTTACCCTACCACCATTTTTGGGCGATAGAGTAGAAAATAAGTGACTTTTACCAGTCATATGGTGTGAACAACCGCTGTCCATATACCATTGATAATCAGAATCAGTGGAAGAATCTAATGAAACAGTTTTAAAGGTTAATTCAAAACTGGAATCTGAACTATTACCTTCAATATTAAGAGCAAAGGCCATGTAGGCCTCTTCTGTTACCTGTTCACTATCGGAGTCTGACTCGTAGTCACTCCAGGAAGCAAGCATAGCGCGCTCCTTTGCCTTTACGGTTAGAGGACAGTTGGCACGTATGTGTCCCGGTTTCCCACATTTGTAGCACCCTTGCAGTTCATTCTCGTGAGCACCTGCACTTAAGTCTTTGGTCTGTTGTGAAAGCAACCTATCATGGGAGAATGATTTGTTACGATCATAAAAACCAGGTTTGTTCAATTCTCCACCTCGAGGTTTCTTCTCAGACTTATACTTGAGCATTCTATGAAACTTTCTACTGACAAAGCAAATTCTTTGTCAAATTCAGTGTCATTATCTGACTCATATTCCTGAGCTTGAGACTGAAAAGCTAAGGTTTGCCTGCGTTTATCATCACGACCAACCTGCCTAATGACATGTTCATGACTAAGTAACGACCCGATTAATTCATCCATAGGCAAGGTGTTGAGATTACGAGCTTCTTCTATGGCTGTCCGTTTGGGCAACCATTCCTTAGGAGGCGATCTAAGAGTTTTGCTAATAAGATCCTTAGTAACAAAGGACTTACCTAAACCCTTTAATTTATTGATTAAGACGGTGAATCGAGAATACATGTCGTGAATACTCTCACCTGGCATCATGTCGAAGGCTTCGTATTCGTGCATGAGGAGATCGATGCGAGTCTCCTTGATGTTTGATGAGCCCTCATAGGTCGTTTCCAGAGTACGCCAGATTTCACGAGCTGTTTCGCAATTCTCAACTTTGTCGGCTTCGTCAGGCACCATGGCAGTCTGAAGAATATGCATTGCTCGCTGGTTGAGCTGAGCGCTCTTCTTCTGGGCGGCAGACCACAGATTCTGTTCGTCATCATTCATCGCGATCGGACCGTAACGAACCACCAGCCAGATATCTTCCTCTACACCCCACAGAAACATCTTCATACATTTCTTCCAAGCCGTGAAATTTGAACCAGTGAAGACGGGAGGGTGATTGTATGAAGCTTGGCCAAAATTTGAGGAAGCCATCGCCTGGATCAGTCTTGGCAGCAATTAGCTTCTTCAAGTACTGCTCTGATATCATTTCCATGGTCCATGAAACCGTACCGGAGACAGTACCGGGAAAGTCAGCGGTAGGATATTTTATAATAAAACCATGGTTTAACTGTAGTTCAACCGTTATACCGGTAAATACCGCCTATCGGTTTAGTCTCCAATACTGGTATTTCGTAGTTTAACCGCCGGTACGATACGGTTTCATGGACACTGATGAAAAGACACAGAAGAGTTTTAGGGATTTTGACCAAAGCAAAAGCAGTAGTGAAGAAGAGGAAAAACGATGGACAAGAGCTCAAGCTCTGAAACTCGACTCAGACACAGCCAATGAAAATCAATTGGGCTGAAAATTAAATGACCCAAAGTAAAAGACAAAAATTAATAGAATGCAGATGTGGGCTTTGTTCACTCAAGCCCAAACACACAATACGCGTAAATGAGCTTGTGCTTTCTTCTTCTTCTTCTCCTTCTTTTGACAGGAATGGAAGAACAAAACAGAACCCATAAAACAAGAACAGAGAACAAAAAATAAAGAAGGAATGAAACCAGAACTGATGCGAAAAGAACACACGATTTAACGAGGTTCCCAAACTACTGGTCACTCCTCGTCTCGGAAATAGCACCTGCTATTTTCCGAGAGACTCTTTTTTATTATGATTTTACCTATCAAGCAGAAGATAAAAAGAAACAGAGTATGAAAATGAAAATCAAACAACCACCACCCCATATCACAATCCGATCTGTATAAACCCTCAACAGCTAAGAACCTCTTCCCCTGAACTGTTGATAACCTTGTAACTAAAAGACCAGCCCTCTACCGCTCTCTTTTTCTCCGTTACAATACCTTGCCTTGCTTCTCAAAATACACAGAATATATATATGAACAAAATATCCGTTGGTGAAGACAAAGCTAGTCGTTGCTGATTTTCCGCCAGGATTGCTTCTTATGAGGAAACCTTCCTTTGTCATCCGATTCTTGAATACTTACCAAAAGAGATCAATCGGCAAGACTCTTATTTCGTTCATCAGAGAAATGCAGTAATGTAAGTAACTGAAGATTAATCCCTGAAGCCAATTATGCATATACTTAAAATATATATATATGATCATTACTCAGCGTTTTCATATCATATCCATCGACTTGTAGCAATAGAGACATTATTAATTTAATAGTAACACCCACATCTTTGCAAGTTGAAACCCCATACTCTCATGTTTGGCTCGTTTATTAACAAACCGAGTTTCGAACGAACTTTCTCGAGTCGAACGCCGAGCCGCTTGACTCATTTGCGGCACTAGCTGCGGGCCAGAGGAATACGCTACTGAAGTTTTTTGGTACAGATGGTAGCATGGTGGCTCAATTGGTAGCCCGTAAAATCTTGTTCTTGCCTGCTGCTTTCGGCCAACTCCGTAGCAGATTGGGGGAGGGAGGCGTGATTAATTATGGCTTCCCCTCATCCAAAACAACGACAACAACAATAAAGTCAGATTATTTACGGGTTCTGCCACGGCAGCTGCTGCAGGTACTCAACCGTGGCCACATCCAGCTGAAACGCCTTGGCCAGAACGTCGGACAACACCGCCGGCACCGCTCCGAACAGCGTGTTCGCCGTGGTCACCACGCCGGGGTTCTGGCTGTTCAAAATGGCAAACCCAACCGCCTGACGCGACCCGATGTTCCACTGGAAATGGATCAAGCCGAGGGGGAACACGAAGACGTCGCCGGCGGTGAGGATCTTGGCGAAGAGGCGGTGGGTGGGGTTGGCGGTGATGAATCCGACGTAGAGGGTCCCCTTGATGAGGTAGAAAATCTCGGAAGCACGCGGGTGGTGGTGGGGCGGGTTGAGCCCGCCATTGGCCGCCAGGTCGACCCGGCCCAGGGACAGGCCCATGGTGTTCAGGCCCGGGATCGAATCCGCCGTCAGGAGGGTGACGTTGACGCCGAGCCTGTTTGATGTTCTGCGAGGGACGTTGAGGCCCGTGTAGAAGAAATCGTTCGGGCTCACTTTGCGAGGGTCCTTGCAGAATTTCCCGTTGACATAAACTGCAAATTCCATGGATGATGATAGTTGGTCAAAATATGAAGTGTGAGGTAAATGTTTCGTACTACTGGGTTGGAAAATGTACCTCCATGGATGGAGTGATTGACTGCAACGCAGAGATCCTGGAGAGGGTTTGGATCATAGGCGACTGTTGGATGAGGGAAATGGGCAGTAATGAGTAGTAGAGTGGCCGCCAAGAGGGTATAGGGTTGGAGAAGAAGATGAACAACGCCTTCCATGGTTTGCTAGACTGATGGTTTAGGTGGAGAAGTTGGAGTTCATTTATATAGAGTACGTACAGAGCCGGTCGAGGTAGCTATAGGTAGCTGAAAGTTACACGGATGCTTTAGGTATCGCCTAAATACAAAAACTTTCCTGAATTCAACAACTCACTTAATCATGGTTAATGAATCATAAAATCTGGATTTACATAAGTATTTAGTTCTCTACTGTCTACCTACTTTAAATCCGTGAAGAGGCTAACCTAATAGGTAGCTCGCATCTATCTATTTATAAGATATGTAAAGCCAAAACATCACTCCAATTCGCATCTATCTATCTATTTATGTATTTAATCATTCTACGGTCTTTGTATGTTCAAACCACCATGGTAAACTTTTCATATCATATGTTATACTTTGTATTTTAATATCAATCAATACCACCATGATATAGACTGGTAAAAAATGTCTTAATTTATTTTGTTCAAAAAATATATCAAAGTGAATATCATTTTGAATAACACAATTAATCTGATTTAGATAGGAAAAGATTAAAGACTTTTCAGGAGATAGAGAAGGGTGATGATGTGGCGATTTCTGATTGGGTTACTGATGGTTATTGACCAGTAGGTTATGCATGGGATCCGCTCCCGGTTTGCTGAAGATGACTAATGACACACTGCATCATTATTAACCAGCCGAAGATGTCGTGTATGCAGTATTGTCGTTGTCTGGTTTTTATAGGGAGTGCAACGGTTGGATTTGTATCGAATAATACTAGACTAAACTGATGTTTAAATTGAATTATATCTAACCGAATATAATATGGTAATGTCTTTGGTCTCATTAATTTTATAAATACTGAAAAAAGACCGAGTTGATATTTGGACTGGATCAAATGCAATGATCGTTCAATTAGTGGCGCAACGAGAATTTTATTCAAAGGGGAGCCAAATCTTTTTTACATATACGGCCTCATGTTTCATGTTGTGAATGATTCTAAAACATAACTATATGAATGGTTAAAACTATACGAGATTTCACACTTAATGGATCCTACCAAATAGTCGTTTACAATTTTAGTTCATTGGTTGTGAAGGCTAGCCAACCGTTTCATTGCATAAAATGTTATCAACTTGTGCATTGACAAATAGCAGTAACAAATCAAATATATTTTTACTAGAAAATACATCGATGGAAATTAATTTATCTTCTGACTATATCATAAAAATTTAATGATTTTCTGCAATAATGTCACTCTTATCTAGGGATGGCAAAAAATCCGTAACCGCGAATATCCGCCCGAATCCGACGTAATTAGGTAGGGTAAAACCCGAACCCGAATATTTTGGGTAATGGATGGACATGGGTTTCTCACTATCCAACCCGAACTCGCCCGATTATCCACATGAATATGTATTTTGTCCAGAAATAATCATTATTTTTCTCTAACATATTTTATATTTCACATATCAATATTATATTTTCATGAAATTGTGTTGTTTTAATTTATTTTCTTCATTTTAGTGAATTACCGTTGTACTTTTCTCTTAAGTAAAGTGAGAATACATGTGAATGTTAACATATTGGTTGGAGTTAGGAAGAAAAATTATTACTCATGGATAACCGTGGATACCCGAAACCCAAACGGATATGGGCATGGTTCGGATTTTTACCCATTTCTTATGTGTATGTGGGTATGGGTAAAACCCGAACTACTTTGAGTAGGGTAACAGATATGCACTATCCGCCCCCGACCCGACCCGACCCATTACCATCCCTACAGTCTTATCCATCTTGATAAACTAGAATGTATATGTAGAAATTAATACTTAAAATAATTTATATAAATTTTCGTGTTAAATGATAGTGGATTTCATGATTGACTTTGAATTTTAGGATTTAAATATAATTATTAACATACTATTACTATTATTTTTTTCTCAAATTTAATGGGGTTGTGCCATGGAACCCTTTTATTAGCTTCTAGCTCCGCCAATGTGTTCAATCCTTTATCTTAAAATATATTTTAATATTGGATATCACTTCTTATTAGTTTTATCTACTACAGACAAGCACAGTCTGCAATGAATTATTTATTCTTGCATTATTAATCACAGTCTGCATGATCAGTTGGTAACTGGTAAGTGGTGGAAATCAAGGTTTTAAAAGGGTCTTATGCATCTTGCCGTATTCATGGCGTTGGCGTGGGTGATTCAAATTTTATTGATTGGGAGGTAGGACGTTTTTGAGGATGAATTACCATTCTTCAGTGCTACAATCCTTTTTTGGAACATTTTCGTTGTTGTTTATAATCTCTTAACCATATAAGTTTCCTTTCTGGTTTCTATGACGCCTCATTTTGGTCTTATTTCTGAAACGATAGGTTCTTCCAAATAGAAATGAATTTTCAAATGAGCAAGAAACAACGTAACAAAGTTAACAAAAATTTAAGTAGGGGGTCATTCAATGAACATTGCATGTAATTGCACAACGTAATTAGTTTTCATCAAATTTTATACTTACCATTTTATAAACCATACACTACTGACTACTCAGACTTCAAACTTGCTAAGCAACTTTGAAAATTGATCTCGTTCTAAAGCTTTCGTGACAACGTCGACTAACTAATTATGTACATAGATCTTAATCTTTTTGGCATGAAATATAGCAATTCGTCTTCATATGTTTAGTTCTCTCATAATTAATTATGTTGTTTGTTAGGTAAAACAATATTTTTCATACAATTTTCACTCTCCTTAAATTTGTTTGTCTCTTATTTGTTTTATTGATAAATCTCCTTTTCTCTATCCCCAGTTAATGAATATTCTAGGGGTCATTTGTTTCATGGATTTGGTGATGGATTTGAGTCGCAAATCCAATCTATTGTTTGCTAGCCAATTTTAGGGATGTAAAATTTGTGGGGTCCACAGACTTTAAGGATCCAAATTGTGAACCCCGTGAACTTGCAAATCTCATTATTAGAGGTGGAATTTGGGTTGATGGTTAAAAATCCATCATACCAACATATCTAATGAAGTAAACATAACAAAATCCAATAAGCAAACAATAACTCTGTCAAATCAATAACAACAACAAATTAATCATATATCTAAAAAATTTCAAAACAAAAAATTTGCCAAAACACTCATTTTCCATATTCTTGCAAACGATCCCTAGTTACATGCGCCTGGCACACAAACTATTTGTTCAATTCTTCTGTTTGTAAGTATATATGGGGTATTGTGATCTGCGTTTCGTAGGTCGTCATAGGAACAGGAGGCTCATTTAATGGCCAAAAAGTCCCTGAGTTTGTCGCCTCGGGTCCTGTCGAGGTTCGACTATGTGTCCTGGTTACGTAGTTTGTAATTAACGGTGTGTGGATCTCGTTTGAGATTGGTTGAATGGCAAAAAAAAGTATGTATGGGCTACCAAGCCCAACAGGCTACAAAAACAGTATCCCATCCGGTCCATTTGACCCAACTTGCAGTTGGGCCGAACTTGCTCTGTTTAAATGGTTCTGACTTCTGAGTCCAAATACTACCATTCTACCAATACCAGCTTTTGGATCGGGCTACTCTCAAACTGAATCCACCCCGCTCAGGCGACTGGGCGGGAATTCCGACATTGACTGCTGTTTCCCGTTCCCGGAGCGCGGAAGAGAGAGCTTTCTTCAGGTCCTGCTCCGGTGCAAAAGCTAATTACCAGTTTCAACAGAACGGTCTTCCGTCCTTAGTTCAGAACTATCTTCGTCTCTCTCCCTCTGCATCTCCATGAACCCTTCTTCAGCTCCGCCTCCCAATCATCTTCACTTCCCTTACCCCCGTCCAAACCCTAATCCCACCCCTACTATCTATTTCCACCCACTTCACCGCCCGCCGCCGCCGCCGTCGTGGCAATCACCTCCGCCTCCTCGTCCACTGCTCGCACCTCCGCTGCAGTCCCAATACCCCACTGTCGCCGTTCCCGTAGCCACTCCAGTTCGCGATGTCTCCGCTGCACTCTCCTCTTTGACTGACCTCGTATCCCTCGCACGGCGGACTCTCGGCTCAGTCTCCACCCTTATCGATTCTGATCCTTCACCTGAAAAGCCGAATGAGGAACTCGTTCCCTGCCCTTACAATCGTCACCATCTCATTCCAGCGGAGTCACTCTTCGTTCACTCGCTTCGCTGCCCCTCTCCGGTATGTGAGGATCCTACTTCTCTTATCCAATTTCTTCACTACCCTAAAACGCTGAACTATCAGTTCCCCGTTAAAACTCTCTTCGACGAATCATCCGAGCAACATAAGAAAGGCGAACTATGCCTCTCTTTAGAAAGTTATTACAGGGAGTTCAGGTCCAACTTTTTCTATGAAGATTGCCCAAGTGCTGTTAACTTCAGGGAGCTGGAGAATTCAGGGAAAATGGTTACCGTGCCTAGTGTTTTATCGGTTGAGTGTGCCGATTTTGTTGGTATTACGGAGGCGAGCAATCAGGTTTTCTATGAGAAGATGTTTAGAATACTCTCATCTGAATCATGGGCGATTAGGAGGGATGTTGAAGGTTGGGTTGATTATCCTACGCAGTACTCATATGGTATATTTTGTGCAGTTTTGAGGTTAAATGTGGTGAAGATGAATGATTTGGGTCGTTGGATTATTAGTAATTCTCCTCGTTTCGGTTCGGTGATTGATAAGTACATGAGAGATCACATCTCTGTGCTTTCTGTGCTGTGTCTGAAAGCAATCAGAAAGGAAGCTTTGGCCTTGGTGGGCACTGATATTAGCATTGCAAATTTATCTTTTCCCTGTCCAAACTCTGTTCAAGCTTTAAAGTGGCTTGCATCTCAGCTCTCTCTGTTGTATGGGGAACTTAATGCAAAATCCTTCACCATTTACATTTTTAAGCAATGCATTCTCGTGGCTGCGAAAGAGGCGGTGCTGTTCTGTTTGAATCCGGATTTGAAAGGAATCTCAACAGATTTAGATGAGAATGGGAGTGAAAATATGAAATATGTTCAGTTTGGAGAGCCTCTTGAAGGGTGCAGTGACCAGGAAAAAGATAAGAAAGCCAAGTTTAATGCCGAGGAAGATAACATTGGTATATCACAAGTGGCAGCCGCAGTTGCTGCATTGCATGAGCGGTCCTTACTAGAGGCAAAAATTAAAGCATTGCAGAGTTCTCAACTACAACCATCTTACCAACGGTATGGTGTGAGTCCTTTCTATCTTGATACTTGCATATAGGCTCTACATGATAGAGTTTCACCTGATGAGCACAAT